GAACGGCTGAGATCCAAATCGAGGAAGGAGAAGGGACAAGGAAGGGATATTCACCTCGCTAGACACAGGCAATGTGGGTGTAGTGGCCTGCAGGTCGCAGTGCAATTTTCAAGGTCATTCACTGGGCCCATAGTCATCTCCAGAGTTACCAACCCTGTACTACTTGTTAATTACTCCAAACCCACAGCACTTAACACATCTAGCACACGTGTCTTGGAATGACAGACAAATTTTCACTACATAAGAACTAGTTCTCACAACACCGAAGGTACGGCCGGAACACTGTAGAACGTTCACAAAGGCATTCTGGGATTCAGAACAGATGTAGCCTTGGCCTTCACTGGCTGGCTTGGAGCGCTGTTTGGCCTGGATCAGCTAAACTCGCCCTTATCCTATATGTAGATAATGGCGACGAGTTAACGGATACCGGTGAATAGGAAAGTCAAGGAAGGGACATTCACCTCACTAGACACACGCAGTATGGGTGTAAGTGGCATGCGGGTCTTATAGTGCCATTTTCAAGGTCACCCAGCAGGCAGACATTCCTCACTCATTTTAAGCCTACGTAGGTACTGATGGTAGCACAAACACTGACAAAACCTACTACATTATGTTTGGTAGCAGAGCAGGAGATGCGCAAATCAACGTTAAGATCGACAACACTCTAATTGCCAGGCATAATGAGGGCAAATTCCTAGGCCTATACCTCGACAACAACCTGAACTTCAGTACCCATATCCAACACATAACCAAAAAAGTATTCAAAACGATTGGGATCCTCTCCAAGATACAATATTACGTGCCGCAAACTGCCCTTCTCACACTATACCATTCACTTATATATCCATACCTCACCTATGCTATCTGTGCTTGGGGTTCAACTGCAGCAACACACCTAAAGCCAATAATAACCCAACAAAAAGCCGCAGTAAGAATAATCACTAAATCCCATCCCTGGCAACACCCCCCCCCCACTCTTCATAGATCTAAACTTACTCCCTGTTCAGTACATCCACACTTACTACTGTGCAATCTACATCTACAGGACCTTAAATTCCAATATTAACCTTGACCTAAAACGCTTTCTTGATAGTTGCGACAGAACCCACAGGCACAACACCAGACACAAACATCTCTATGACATTCCCCGTGTCCGACTAAAATTTACAAAAATTCAATGTATGTCTAGTTCATTACCTTTGTAACTTGCTCAGCTATCAAAACTTTGGAGTCCAGTCCCTGGACCAATTATGTACCTCTGTAATCTTTTGACTACCGCCCACAGGATGGGTATGGGGTGCATAATAAACATATTAAACTAACTGTCAAAGGCCCTAAAATCTGGAACACCCTACCTGAAAATTCTAAAACTGCAGACACATTCATCACCTTCAAAACTACCATCAGAAAACATCTTATCTCCCTGATACACCCTGTCAACTAATTACACGAATACCACCAGGTGGTTAACACTTACACTCACCCATTTGACCATAAACAGAAATATCAATCTCAATCTCAAAATAATGAATCTTAACTAGTCATAAGTTGGCCTGTGATACTCCAATACTGAAACTATGTATAGTGCCAAAACAAAAGCATTCACATTGCTAAACTCACAAACTAGTATTTAGTCACTTAGCCATAATACCAACTTACCTCATAATTTTGTAATATTTTAAACTTAAGATTTAATTTAAGTCTGCCCGATTGTTTGCAATCCTAATGGCGCTAAAGCTAACCTATGACACTGAGCTTGACTCTATCATCATTACTGATTCTATGTCATCATTGAAGGCTCTTGGCTCATATAATGACTCCAACAACATGCTCATTGGGGAAGCCAGGTATAGATACTCAAAAATTAGGGACAAAGGAATTAATGTACAATTGCTATGGATCCCATCACACATTGGATTACTCCTTCATGATAAAGTTGATATGTTAGCCAAGAAGAGTATCGAGAAGGAGAATGTAGAATATAACTTTGGTATAACTGTGTCTAGCATTAGGAATAATATTAGGAGAGAAGTAAATAATGAAAATGATTGTTATAGGAATGCAGTTAGAAGCCTGAGTAGATCTATAACCCACTATGATAACATGAACGTAGATAAGTATGTTTATGGAGCAACTTGCAATGTGAACAGACTGACTGATGTTGTAGTGGCCAGGCTTAGGCTTGGTTATAAGTACTTCTGGCAGTTTGGGAGACACACAGATGATGATCAAACTAAATGTAAATTATGTGATCAGGCATATGGTCATTCTCTTGAACACTATGTGCTTAATTGTCCACTTATTGAGGAATACAGAGACAGACAGTATAATTACCTATGTGACATGTCAAGATATCTTATTAATGAAAATAAGATACCAGATATACTAAGCAAATTTCCTAAATTTGCTTGTAACAGATAAGTGAACTATAGATATGTAGATATAAATCCATATGTATTCCTGTTAACCCTTTGGGGCCTAGTTCCTAGGCCTTTTGTGTATCCATATGCTCTCGCGCTACCGTCCACAGGATGGATATGGGGTGCACAATAAACTAGCCACTTCGGTGGCAAAATCTCTAATCTGCCTAGCCATGCTAGGTGTTCTAGTGGTACACTCTGTAATTATTATTTTACTACATGTAAACCACACAATAACCAAATTCTGTAAACTCAGCATTGTAATCCTTAGAGAGAATTTGAAATGCATCGCAATTACTCAAACCCACACTATTTGCAGATGACACTACATACGTCTTCTCTCACCCGAGCCCAGTCACGCTAGCCAATACTGTAAATACCGAATTACAGAAAATATCTACCTGGATGAGGACTAACAAACTTACACTAAACATTGACAAAACCTACTTCATTCAGTTTGGTAACAGAACTACAGATGTCCCTCTTAACATAATGATAAACGGATCACCTATCACAAAGCTAACAGAGGGAAAATTCTTAGGAATCCACCCTGATAATAGACTCAAATTTCATACACATATACAACAAATTTCTAAGAAAATTTCCAAGACCGTAGGCATACTATCGAAGATACGGTACTACGTTCCACAGTCAGCCCTCCTGGCCCTATATCACTTCTTTATTTACCCCTATCTCACCTATGGAATTTGTGCATGGGGCTCAACAACAATTAACCATCTCAGACCACTAATTACCCAACAAAAGGCTGCAGTCAGAATGATAACAAATTCCCACTACAGGCAGCACACTCCACCAATATTCAAAACACTAAACCTACTCATCATACAAACCATCCATACTTATTACTGCACCTATTACATACATAGAACACTTAACTCTGATATTAACCCTCCCCTCAAACATCTCCTTGCCAACCTCAACAGAACACATGACCATAACACAAGGCACAGATCACTCTTTGATGTTCCTCGTGTCCATCTCACACTATGCAAAAACTCAATGCACATAAAAGGCCCTAAAATCTAGAATTCATTACCTGTAAATATAAAAGAAACACTACCTGTTTACAAATTCAAGTCTCTTCTCAAAGATCACTTACTCACCCAAAACCAAATAAATACTGAATAACTGAACCTTATAAATTGTATATCTTAAATGTTTCTCACAATTATATCACACAAATGTTAAACCTAAGACCCAATCTAACTTTGTGATTTTTTAAATACACTACCTAACAGAATACTCCATTCTACTGAATGTACAGCAATGCATGCAACCATATGACCTGTCTTTGTAATACTCATTTGTGCTTTATTGTTATCTGTTTACAATAATGTTTTATCACTGATTACATCATTGCTTAGTTAATCTTAAGTTAATTTTAAGCCTGCGCGTAATGCTACGCATACAAGTGGCATTGGCATGCTGCTCTTACCTGTATTTTTTTTTACCCCTGTATGTGTGCTCAAATTACTAAATAAATAAATAAATAAATAAATAAATGCCTGAGACCATAGTGAGTGGTGGTTGTGACACAGATTGCAGGGTTCATACATGCCTGAGACCATAGTGAGTGGTGGTTGTGACACAGATTGCAGGGTTCATACATGCCTGAGACCATAGTGAGTGGTGGTTGTGACACAGACTGCAGGGTTCATACATGCCTAAGACCATAGTGAGTGGTGGTTGTGACAGACTGCAGGGTTCATACATGACTGAGACCATAGTGAGTGGTGGTTGTGACACAGACTGCAGGGTTCATACATGCCTAAGACCATAGTGAGTGGTGGTTGCGACACAGACTGAGGGTCTCATTACATGCCTGAGACCATAGTGAGTGGTGGTTGTGACACAGACTGCAGGGTTCATACATGGCTGAGACCATAGTGAGTGGTGGTTGTGACAGACTGCATGGTTCATACATGGCTGAGACCATAGTGAGTGGTGGTTGTGACACAGACTGCATGGTTCATACATGGCTGAGACCATAGTGAGTGGTGGTTGTGACACAGACTGCAGGGTTCATACATAGCTGAGACCATAGTGAGTGGTGGTTGTGACACAGACTGCAGGGTTCATACATGGCTGAGACCATAGTGAGTGGTGGTTGTGACACAGACTGCAGGGTTCATACATGGCTGAGACCATAGTGAGTGGTGGTTGTGACACAGACTGCATGGTTCATACATGGCTGAGACCATAGTGAGTGGTGGTTGTGACACAGACTGCAGGGTGGCCTGGTGGCCTGGTGGCTAAAGCTCCCGCTTCACACACGGAGGGCCCGGGTTCGATTCCCGGCGGGTGGAAACATTTCGACACGTTTCCTTACACCTGTTGTCCTGTTCACCTAGCAGCAAATAGGTACCTGGGTGTTAGTCGACTGGTGTGGGTCGCATCCTGGGGGACAAGATTAAGGACCCCAATGGAAATAAGTTAGACAGTCCTCGATGACGCACTGACTTTCTTGGGTTATCCTGGGTGGCTAACCCTCCGGGGTTAAAAATCCGAACGAAATCTTATCTTATCTTCATACATGGCTGAGACCATAGTGAGTGGTGGTTGTGACACAGACTGCAGGGTTCATACATGCCTGAGACCGTTGTGATTCTTCAGCCCAACATCAGCTTCACCTGCTGCTGCTGCTGCTGCTGCACGAGGTTGTCATTTTCGCGTCTACATCAACATATTTCGGCCTCAGAATGACCAATGAAAACAAAGAAAAGTATAGTGCAAATTCAACTCTTTACTATGTTTAAGTTGTGCTTTACTTTGCCTTACTTCTTCTCAAACGTGAACTATTTCTAGGTTGAGTTTGTTAAGAGGTACATATTGTTTGTTGAAAGGACCCCAATGGGACTTGTTTTGGGTTATCCTGGGTAATTATATATACGCTGTTATGTATGATAATTTATGTAACTGTATTTGTGTGTACCTGAATAAACTTACGTAACCATCCCCTTGAGCCAGAGAAGAGTTCTTGATCCAAGGAATGAACCGTCTTGTCTCCATGCCATCGAATATAATTATATATGTCCCATTTTCCCAGGCAGTATATGATCCTTTCAAATTCAGATTTTTATTTCTTTGCAAATTTTACAATGTGTGACTGACATGTTCTAAGGAGTCTACTTCCATGCATAGTTTACAATGTTTAATTACAATATTGATTTGCAAGTGCCAAGAAAGTCACTCTCATGCTGAGGCATTTTGGCCAGACTAAACCTAATACTTTACTGACTCTACTTAATAAGAGATATATATGTCTTAGTTGGTTCGAATTGAACATTGGTTTTTTATATATCAGCAGAGGTAGTTAGAGTATTACATTTTAGCACATAGCAAACTTAATATTAACTCAAGATTAATAAAGCAATTACAGATAATTATATGGACCTTTGATGAGTAATGTTGAGCACAGTAATTAAACGTTTAAAGTTAGTTTATAAAAATTACATTATATCAAACATTGGTACAATTTGAATTATTTTACACTAGAAATATTACAATGGAACACTTTAAAAACAATTACAATATTAAATTATTACAATTAGAACAATTTGAAACAATTTACAACATGAGATTATTAAAATTTAGTATTATTACAATTAGTATTATTACAATTAGAGCAATTTAAAACAATTTGCAATATGAGCTTATTAAAATTGAGTATTATTTAAAACAATGAAATCTAAGAATCTAATTTTGAAGTAATGAGTTTATGGTTGAACAATCCTTAGCACAATATATAGTATTTTTTTTTTTTTTATTATCACATTGGCCGATTCCCACCAAGGCAGGGTGGCCCGAAAAAGAAAAACTTTCACCATCATTCACTCCATCACTGTCTTGCCAGAAGGGTGCTTTACACTACAGTTTTTAAACTGCAACATTAACACCCCTCCTTCAGAGTGCAGGCACTGTACTTCCCATCTCCAGGACTCAAGTCCGGCCTGCCGGTTTCCCTGAACCCCTTCATAAATGTTACTTTGCTCACACTCCAACAGCACGTCAAGTATTAAAAACCATTTGTCTCCATTCACTCCTATCAAACACGCTCACGCATGCCTACTGGAAGTCCAAGCCCCTCGCACACAAAACCTCCTTTACCCCCTCCCTCCAACCTTTCCTAGGCCGACCCCTACCCTGCCTTCCTTCCACTACAGACTGATACACTCTTGAAGTTATTCTGTTTCGCTCCTGTCTCTCTACATGTCCGAACCACCTCAACAACCCTTCCTCAGCCCTCTGGACAACAGTTTTGGTAATCCTGCACCTCCTCCTAACTTCCAAACTATGAACTCTCTGCATTATATTCACACCACACATTGCTCTCAGACATGACATCTCCACTGCCTCCAGCCTTCTCCTCGCTGCAACATTCATCACCCATACTTCACACCCATATAAGAGCGTTGGTAAAACTATACTCTCATACATTCCCCTCTTTGCCTCCAAGGACAAAGCTGAATTAAGTTTAACTTGAGCAATCTTAAATTATTTAGAAGTTTTTTTGTATAGCTTTAGTGCAGTATATGATCCTACCAAAGAGATACATGATTATCTACACCTGGAAAATCCTAGAGGAACTAATACATGATTATCTACACCTGGAAAATCCTAGAGGAACTAGTACCAAACTTGCACACGAAAATCACTCACAACGAAAGCAAAAGACTTGGCAGACGATGCAACGTCCCCCCAATGAAAAGCAGGGGTGTCACTAGCACGTTAAGAGACCATACAATAAGTGTCAGGGGCCCAAGACTGTTCAACTGCCCCCAGCATACATAAGGGGGATTACCAACAGACCCCTGGCAGTCTTCAAGCTGGCACTGGACAAGCACCTAAAGTCGGTTCCTGATCAGCCGGGCTGTGGCTCGTACGTTGGTTTGCGTGCAGCCAGCAGTAACAGCCTGGTTGATCAGGCTCTGATCCACCAGGAGGCCTGGTCACAGACCGGGCCGCGGGGGCAGTGACCCCCGGAACTCTCTCCAGGTAAACTCCAGGTATCCAAATCCAGGCACAGATATTTATTTCTTGAGCAAACTGTTTTTGGATGTAAATTTGTAGGCACATCAATACTTTCATGAGAGGAAGATTATACAAGGTTTATTGCACATGTGCGTGCACACACACGCACATGCACACGCACACGCGCGCACACACGCACGCACACGCGCACACACGCGCACACACACACACCCCCACACACACACACACACACACACACACACACACACACACACAACACACACACACACACACACACACACACACACACACACACACACAAAATACTGCATAGGATAGACAAGGTGGACAGAGACAGGATGTTCCAGAGATAGGACACAGAAACAAGGGGTCACAATTGGAAATTGAAGACTCAGAGTCAAAGGGATGTTAGGAAGTATTTTTTCGGCCTTTGAGTTGTTAGGTAGTGGAATAGTCTGGAAGCGATGTAGTGGAGGCAGGAACATACATTTTTTAAAGTGAGGTTGATAAACCCCATGGAACGGAGAGAGAGGCCCCCGTAGCAGTCAGTAAAGGGCGGGCCCGGAGCGAGCTCTACCCCTGAAACCACAAATAGGTGAGTACACGTGCACAGCACGCACACAGCATGCAACAGGGCTGGGGGACTGGGCCACAAAGTTTCAATGCTAGGCAAGTTGTGGTAAAAAAACTTTTAAAAAAATAATTTCTTGTAGAGTCATTATGAGTTTTTTTATAAAAAATAAGAATGGGGAACACAGACCCAAAAAAAAATAGGCAAGTCTTTCTCTAAAAAAAAACCCCTCTAACAAAAATATTTGCCCAAAACCCATTTCAAGGCTACCCAAAGGGAAATTTGTTTTGAAAACCCTTTTGCTAATTCAAAATGTGCAAGGCCCCCTTCACTCGTATTATTTAACCATTCTGTTAGGGTGACGTACCCAGAGTTTCAGCTTCAGTGATCCTAGACGTGTTCTATCATTAAATTTTTATTTTTTTTATACAGTATAGAATTGTTTTTTACATGTAATAAAAAAAAAAAAGCCACTGTATTACGCATTTGGGCGACTGTCCTAATGCTAAAGACTACTTTAAGATTGGTTAAAAAAATTTTTTTTGATTTCTTTAAATGTCAAAAAGACAGGTATCTAAAATGAACAAATTACTACTTTATTTAAAAGTATGCATTAATTTCAGACTGATTATTGACCTTCACTTAAGAGAATTTCCTAAGCAGTTAACAATTTAGCACAAAAGAAAGGCAACTGATGTAAAAAAGGTGTTGGGTAATGAAAAAACTAAGTCAAAGATTAAATTGGTGTGGGGGGGACTTATCTTGTGACGTTTTCCCCCAAAAAACCCGTCCTGCAGGCGATTTCTTGGAATTGTCTTTATGCACCCCTCAAAGGGCGGGAAAAAATTAATTAGGGGTGAGTATAATTCCCCCAGGGGGGCTTTTTATGTCAGATATCCAAAATTGATTGCTGATGGAATAATACTCACGTGTGTGGAGTCAAAAGTCCGCGTTTCACAGGGTATTGTTACGTTAATAAACATAAAAGGATATCCACTGCGCAGCTGACCTACCACTATCATGTATATTAAATGCACTTGGGTATTTGTAGCTGGCTCGTAGTTGCACCCAGTTATCCCTTGTCTTCATTGAAACAGACGTGTTTTTTGAAGAATGTCGCACACACTCCGTTAGGATCGCAACACTCATTGTTGCATTCTGTTCAAGTATTGTTTTTATTAATCACAATCTTATCACTGAAGAAGCTGATCACACTTCTCTGTAAGTGTTAAGGTGTGTTTTTTGAGATACTTTTATGCACAAAAATGTGCAGATCAGTGTTCTTTGTTGGTTATCCCGGCGTCAATGTATCCTCTAGCAGGGTCAAAAACAATCTAACCCCACAGCCTCCTACGCCACTGCCAATGCCCCTAGCACATAAAGGAAAAGCTGACCCAGCACATTTCACCTCCTTGCCAAACTTCCACCGGAAAACAAAGAGAATGCTTGTTCTGCTGTCTTAATGTAGAAAAAATGTACATTTTTAACATGGTAATAAAGTGGGTACAGGATTTTCCTTAATTGTTGTGTTAAGGTAAGAGATTGATGTATCTTACTTAAACCACACACTTGCAACAGTGGTCTCCTGCAAAGAGCCGCATGACCATGTAATGGTACACGCTGGTTTAAAATCTGCTGGTAATTAAATTTATGTGCAGTAAAAAAATGTTGCCCTTTGGGGGGGCTGACCCCTTTAGGGTGAAAAGGCAAAGGGGGTGATACCCCCTCCCGGGGGAAAATTTTCCACAAAAGGGGCCCCCTTTTAAATGTATGATTTTTATCTACTGTTAGGTAGTTTGCCACGGACATGACCAAGATCCTCTTTGATACATGTGGTCTTTAGTAAAAAATTTTACTTCTGCCTTGCTAAACCTGACTGGGTGGGCGAGCTAGCAGACATACATGATATTGATAAATGTGTCAAAATATTTCTACATAAAACCCAAAACCTCTATAATAGACATTGTCTAATGATAACGAAGCAGATCTCAGCAAAGAGACTGAGCCCCGTGGCTTACAAATAGTCCTAAATCCACAATAAAAAAATCTTTGGGGATTATTTTTCAAAGTTTTTTGACGTAATGGCAAACTGGATATTGGCCTAGAGTTACCCTGCACCTCCTAAACTCCAAGTATCCAGTTTTCTTCATAATATTTATACCATGCATTGCCCTGAGACATGACATCACTTATGATTTTGTAAATTAAAAATTTTGTAAATGTATACAAATTAACTGTAAATAAAGCAGAGTAATATCAGATGATCCCTTAAAGTTACTGGTGTTTACATTACAGTACTTTGTTATCTAGATTGTAAATGGAAGTGATTTTGTGCATTTTGTGAATAGAATTGAATAAATTTTTTTAGATAAATTTCTGTGGTGCCCTGTACATTTTAGATAAATTTCTGTAGTGTCCTGTACTTGTTTGTTTGCCTATTTTTTAAAGTGATAGATTTACCAAAAAAACAAGTCATTAAAATATTGTTGCAAGATAAGGTAGAAATATTATTTGTTAATTTTCTTTTTTTCCTTCAGCTCAGAAGATGGGCCGAGTAAGAAAGCCTTGAAGAAAGCACAGAAGGCTGCTGAGAAAGCTGCAAAGAAAGCAGAGTATAAAGCACAAAATGCAGTACAGGATGTAAGTTCAAGTTCATTGGGTCCATTTACTACATTTGCCATACATAAGATGTATCAGTGTTTTAGACACACCTTGATTTAAGGAGTTTTTAAAAAATATTTTAAACCCTTAAAATGCCCAAAGTGTAGATCATTTTTCTTGCCAGCACTCAAATTTTTTAAATTTTTTTTTTTTTATATAGAAATAAAGAGTGCATTTTTCTGTGACATAGGATAAAAAAATATTTAGAGATATGAGCCTGTGAAGTTGGCATTGAGTCCCCTGTGGAAAACAGGGAGTGCTCCCGCTTGCAGAAGTGTTGCCGATATATTTTTTTTTTTTTAGTTTTCTTATTGTTTTTTATAAGTTTTTGTTTGATAATTAAAATTTTACGTGTTCTTTGGTTTTCATAGCCAATCTTTGTTCTGACACTAGTATTGGGTACTGAAATTGTACGAAAAATTTTCACAAACACACTGAAGATGAAAATTTACGCCTGCCTTGGTCATTTACTTTGTCTGGGAATTACATGTATACAAAGTATTATAGATCCCGCAATGTTTTTTATATGCGGGAGTAATAATAATAATAATAATAATAATAATAATTAAAAATAATAATATCCCCTTTAAACATGATGTAAGACAAGTGTCAGTCCACTGTGACAGTGCACTGGTGAATTTTTATGGTGTCCCGGCCCTGGATTATTTGTTTTCACTGTTTAAAATAAACGTGTGTGTTGTTGCTCTCCATCTTTGTTGTCTTGCCCGTTTTTCTCTGTCTCGCTTATTGTCTCCTTGCTTGCTCTCTCACTGTCTCAGAGAGACCACTCTGAAAACAGGTATTTCACACAGCTGCTCATATGTCGGTTCCCGAGCAAGGAAAACATGTATTACTTGCCGTATGCTACTGCGATTATATTTTAAAGCCAGTATAGCATTTGGTTTTTTGGGTTTTCCCAGGTAATTTACACTATGTATAATTGTATTTATGTACCTGTGAGACAGAGATAGACAGAGATAGATAGAGATGGACAGAGCTAGACAGAGGCAGATACAGACAGACGGAGACAGAGACAGCCAAAGTCAATCAGCCAGCCAGCCAGCTGCCAGCCAACTGCCAGCCAGCCAGTTGACCAGGCAGCCAGCCAGCCAAGCAGCCACCCAACCAGCCTACAAAACATGTATTACATGTTGCAGAATTGTTTCTCTTTACTTAGGGCAAAGGTTATAAGACATTCTGACAGGATGACACTACTGGTGGTATCAAAATTGAAAGGGTGTTGCTTAAATGTTGCACATGGGTTATTATCAAGGTTTTTTTTATATTTCCTCGACTACCTGTGCCCACATCCACCTCAGAGCCACTAAACTTGGTGTCAGCATCACTTTCCTCTTAAAACGGGAGTGTTAATACAGTGGACCCCCGGTTAATGATATTTTTTCACTCCAGAAGTATGTTCAGGTGCCAGTACTGACCGAATTTGTTCCCATAAGGAATATTGTGAAGTAGATTAGTCCATTTCAGACCCCCAAACATACACGTACAAACGCACTTACATAAATACACTTACATAATTGGTCACATTCAGAGGTGATCGTTATGCGGGGGTCCACTGTACTACATGACATCAGTGAATCCCAGTGTTTGCCATGTTGTTTGCTCTAGCTGGCACTCGGTTGAACTGGTGCTCCCACAAGGTACTTAGTGGTCCCTGATTTTTTTAATACTGTGCACACCAAGTGTTTAGACTCATTCTATGCTGACCAGGCATCTCGGGCCAGTCGTGCCAAATTTAAAGGCAGGAAAAATAAAACGTAGATCTATGTTTGGAGCTCTAGTGGTAAGAACGTAGATCTACGTTTGAACAGTTAATGGGTTAATATACAATATATCACACATGTACTGTAGTGGAACCTCTGCTTGCGAGTTTAATCCGTTCCATGACCTTGCTCGCAACTGGATTTGCTCGTTTGCATAGTCAATTTTTCTCATTTATATTAATTGAAATGCAATTAATCCGTTCCAGTGGAATTCTGTACTTAATTAATTTCGCTAATATCAACTCTATGGCTTATTTATCTGTCTCACTTCATCAAATATGACATAATAAACAATATAAATAACATACAAACCTGATATACATGTATACTCTAAAATTAATAAAATGTCATTCATGTGGTGGTATGGGCAGTGTCAGCGGTGGATGAGAGTTTGTCTGGAGACCGGGCAAAATACTACTTCATGAATAATTTAGCTAATATCATCTATACAGCTTATTTATCTACCAAAGTTCATCTAATATGACATAACAAACAATATGAATAACATGGAAACATGATATATACTCTAGAATGAATAAAATGTCATTCATTAGCGGTATGGGCGATGTCGATGGTGGACGAGAGTTTGTCTGGAGACCAATGAAAATACTTCATGAATAATTTTGCTAATATCATCTCTACGGCTTATTTATATACCACAGTTCATCTAATATGACATAACAAACAATAAAAATAACAGAAACATGATATATACTCTAGAATGAATAAAATATATCATTATGTAACAGGTGGAGGCGGCCACAACCCCTCCCTCTTTGTTGTGGTAAACACTGCCTCTAGTGACGGCCTTTTAAAGCCGTCCATTATAATTGTTATATGTAGTACATTATTATTATATCTGTATTATTATTATACATATTATTGTTATATAAAAATATTTTTATTATATAATTATATATTATTATTATAAAATCTTTTATTATATAAAAGATTTACTGCTATTCCTTATTGCAATAATTGTATAAATAATGTCAACCCATTCACGACTGCAATTGACCATTTGTCCTAGGTTGAGCTCAATTTCAAGGTACTTTTCGTCGTTAAAGCAATCAAAATCGTATCTATTTCTGTAATATATCTTCATTCTATCAAATGAGACCAAAAAAAAACGAGAATACAACCATAAAAACCATTCAAAATTACCGCTAAGGGGTGGCTAATTGCTGAGAAGTGAACTCCATTATTTATGCTTAAGATTTCTTTCATTATTATTATTATTATTATTATTATTATTATTATTATTATTATTATTATTATTATACAGTGGAACCTCAAAAATTGAACTGCTCCCAACACAACCAATTATGTAAGTGTATTTTTGTAAGTGCTTTTATAAGTGTATTTTTAAGGGTCTGAAATGGACTAATCTAATTTACATTATTCCTGATGGGAATAAATTCATTCGGTAAAGGCACTCGAACAGACTTCTGGACCGAAGAAAGTTCGATATTTGAGGTTCCACTGTATAAATAATTTTAATTTTTTTTTTTTTTATTATCACACTGGCCGATTCCCACCAAGGCAGGGTGGCCTGAAAAAGAAAAACTTTCACCATCATTCACTCCATCACTGTCTTGCCAGAAGGGTGCTTTACACTACAGTTTTAAAACTGCAACATTAACACCCCTCCTTCAGAGTGCAGGCACTGTACTTCCCATCTCCAGGACTCAAGTCCGGCCTGCCGGTTTCCCTGAACCCCTTCATAAATGTTACTTTGCTCACACTCCAACAGCTCGTCAAGTATTAAAAACCATTTGTCTCCATTCACTCCTATCAAACACGCTCACGCATGCCTGCTGGAAGTCCAAGCCCCTCACACACGAAACCTCCTTTACCCCCTCCCTCCAACCTTTCCTAGGCCGACCCCTACCCCGCCTTCCTTCCACTACAGACTGATACACTCTTGAAGTCACTCTGTTTCGCTCCATTCTCTCTACATGTCCAAACCACCTCAACAACCCTTCCTCAGCCCTCTGGACAACAGTTTTGGTAATCCCGCACCTCTTCTAACTTCCAAATTACGAATTCTCTGCATTATATTCACACCACACATTGCCCTCAGACATGACATCTCCACTGCCTCCAGCCTTCTCCTCGCTGCAACATTCATCACCCATGCTTCACACCCATATAAGAGCGTTGGTAAAACTATACTCTCATACATTCCCCTCTTTGCCTCCAAGGACAAGGTTCTTTGTCTCCACAGACTCCTAAGTGCACCACTCACCCTTTTCCCCTCATCAATTCTATGATTCGCCTCATCTTTCATAGACCGCTGACACGTCCACTCCCAAATAATCTGGATACATTCACCTCCTCCATACTCTCTCCTCCAATCTGATATCCAATCTTTCATCACCTAATCTTTTTGTTATCCTCATAACCTTACTCTTTCCTGTATTCACTTTTAATTTTCTTCTTTTGCACACCCTACCAAATTCATCCACCAATCTCTGCAACTTCTCTTCAGAATCTCCCAAGAGCACAGTGTCATCAGCAAAGAGCAACTGTGACAACTCCCACTTTGTGTGATTCTTTATCTTTTAACTCCACGCCTCTTGCCAAGACCCTTGCATTCACTTCTCTTACAACCCCATTTATAAATATATTAAACAACCATGGTGACATCACACATCCTTGTCTAAGGCCTACTTTTACTGGGAAATAATTTCCCTCTTTCCTACATCCTCTAACTTGAGCCTCACTATCCTCGTAAAAACTCTTCACTGCTTTCAGTAACCTACCTCCTACACCATACACCTGCAACATCTGCCACATTGCCCCCCTATCCACCCTGTCATATGCCTTTTCCAAATCCATAAATGCCACAAAGACCTCAAAGACTGTTCACTTATATGTTTCACTGTAAACACCTGGTCAACACACCCCCTACCTTGCCTAAAGCCTCCTTGTTCATCTGCTATCCTATTCTCCGTCTTACTCTTAATTCTTTCAATAATAACTCTACCATACACTTTACCAGGTATACTCAACAGACTTATCCCCCTATAATTTTTGCACTCTCTTTTGTCCCCTTTGCCTTTATACAAAGGAACTATGCATGCTCTCTGCCAATCCCTAGGTACCTTACCCTCTTCCATACATTTATTAAATAATTGCACCAACTACTCCAAAACTATATCCCCACTGCTTTTAAACATTTCTATCTTTATCCAT